GGTGTGCAGGGGCTGCCCGCAGAAGCTGAGGGAGTTGTGCGTGGGGAGTTGCATATGTGTGTGTGTGTGTGTGTGTGTGTGTGTGTGTGTGTGTGTGTGTGTGTGCGCGCGCGCGCGCTCATGCGCGTGTGCGTGCGTCTGCGCACGCGTGCGTGCGACGGCGCACATGTGCAGGGGTCAACTTACTTGATGTCCCTGTGGACGATGTTGAGGCTATGGAGATCCGCCAGCACGCTCAGCAGCGGCCCAATGACCTGGGAGGGGCGCGGGGGCCGCAGCAGTGGGGGGCGCGGCCGGCGAGAGTGAGCTGCTCGCAATCACAATTCGCCGCAGGCTTCGTGCGCTCGCCGCTGCCGCTGCCCGGCGCAGCCCCGGGCCCGCGGGCCCGGTCGAAAGCGGGGCCGCAGCACTGCAGCGGGGCGGCTCATGTATGGCGTTCGGGGACGCGGGACGCGGCAGAGACCCGGATTTGGGCGACGCGGCGCATGCGGCGCGGGCGCGCCGGCCGCCCACCTCCTGGCATATTGCCGCCTCCCCTCGCCCGAGGCAGCCGCCGCCGCGCATGCGCGTGAACAGGTCGCCGCCCTCGCAGGCCTCGAACGTGAGGTACACGTTGTTGGAGCACTCGCTGGTGCCCAGCAGGCGCACGACGCCGGGCAGGCGCAGCGCCCGCAGCCAGGTCAGGATCGCGACCTCGCGCGCGACGTTGAGGTGGTGCCTCTGCTGCATGGCGGCCTTGTGGTAGACTTTTGTAACCAGCTTTGAACGCTGGGAGCCGTGAGGCAAGCCCGGGCATCCCGGATCGAATCCCCATCCCGAGCAAGGGCCGCAGGCGTCTGTGAGGAACACCGTGCTACACCTGCCACGATGGAGAACCTTTGTCGAGTTGTAAGCAGCCGCCATGCCCTTGGCAAGTTTTGGCGGGATTCGGCAACACTGTATCAGATTTGCGTTTCAATTGCCAGAAGCGTGGGTGACATACACATCGAAAACTATCATCCAGACTCTTAACATACGCAACGTGGCGTCTGACATAGCGGGTGGTGCCAGGGTGGTGCAGTAGTCAAAAGAAAGTCAAAAGCTTGGTCTATGACTCCGTTCTGATCTCGGAGCCGCGGGTGGAAACAAGCACAGACCGGAACATGAGAAAATCATACATTATTGATGTCAAAATCTTTCAAGGGGTCTGCCAGTGGCGCGTGATCTTTCTAATAGTAATACGATGATTCCCCCTCGATCGGGTGCGATGCATATCACTTAAGCATTTGAAAATGTCCTTCGAAATTATACAAGCATCTCTTCGGAGCGGGGACAGCGCCGCACTCGGCCAGGCCGCCGCCCTCCTGCTGCAGCACCGATCCAACTCTAGCAGTCGGGCGGCGCCTCGTGGCGGACTTGAGGCACTGGTCACCTGCGCAGAGGCATGCATCAAGGTGAGACGCACTCAAAGTTGTCGTGTCACCAATAATGTCTCAAAACCTGCAAGACAGCCTGCCGCATGGCGCACAAAAAGCGGCTGGCGCTGTGCTCAAACTAGCGCGCCTCACAACTCATGTGCGCTTACAATGAACCGCCGGGCAGGCCGGGCGCCTGGACACCGCGAAAGCGTCCCTGCGATGCTACTTCCAAGATGCGCGGGGGTGCGCCGCGCTGCCATGCGTGCGTTGGGCGCTACAATAGTCACTGGGGGGGGCGGGGGGAGCGGCGACCCACAGACAGGATCCATGTCGCCGGTGTAGGGGCGCCTCCACCGCCCTCAAGGGCAGCGGCGGGGCGAAGCTTGCGCTGCAGCTGCGATGCAGCCAGCCGCGCGGCGGGCGGGCCGTCAGCGTGCGTCTGAGCCTGCTGCTTCCTCGGGGTGCAGGTGCCGCGACGACGCGCTGGGCGAAGCGGGTGCCGGGGCAGGGCTCCCGCAGGACCAGTTCGCAGTGCGCGCCCTGTACGCGGCCGGCCAGCTGGTGGCGCAGCAGGCGTCTGCCTTGAAGGTGCGGCCCGGCCCCGCTCCCACGCACCCGGCCCCGGAGGCCCCTACGGCGCATACGCAAGCCGCAACCCTGGCGCGCCCTGTTGCAAGGGATTGAGGTCGCGTGCAGCTGTCGCATGCGGCAGGGCGAAGCGCGTCAGCGCTTGTCATTGCTGCCCTGCTCCCCCTCCCCAGGGCCGAGCGCTGGTGGACGCCACTCTGGAGGCGGTGGGCCTCATCATGCAGGGCGTGGACATTGCCGCAGCAGACCCCAGGCGAGATGATGAACGCATGGAGCCCCGCACGATGCCGACTGCTTGAAAACATGCACGCATGCATGCACATACGCCGCATACTGTACGCCACACGCATGCATGCGCGTGCGCGCACACATGCAGACACACACGGGAACATGGACACACGCATGCGTGCACATGCGGTGCTCCGCATGCGCACGAGCACCACCCTGCAAGCGCCCTTTGACAATCAATTGTCATGCGCTTGGGGCCCCTCAGCCCGGCTGCGCGGGCCGCCTTGCACTCTCGCCCCACGCATGGCCTGCCAACATGCATGCCCCATGTCCACCCTGTCAGGTGGTCGTTCCTTGTATACAATGGGAGCGTGCACCACCACCACGCGGCGCGCGCGCTGCAGCGCGACGGCGCCAGGGCGCACCTGCTGGCCAGCCAGGGCGCCGTGTGCCAGGTGGGTGAGGCTGGTGGGACGCTGCGCAGCAGGCCTAGTGTGGAAGGGATGAGGTGTGCCGGTCACGCTGGTTGGAGGGGTGCGTGCGCTCTTGTGCAAGGGGGGCGCCAAGCGAGCCGCGCCGCACCGCCGCGATTGCCAAGGAGAGGCAGCCGCTGCCATGCGCGCGGCACAGGCGCTGGAAAAAGCAGGGGACGCGGCCCCGCCCGAGTGGCGCGTGCGGCAGTTGATGGCCCTGGCCATGTGCCAAGCCGAATGTGGGCGCGCTGACGAGGCGGGCCGGGTGCTGGGGCGGGCCCAAGACCTGGCGAACAGATGCGGCCTTGAGAGCAGGGTAAGGGCCGCCGGCGGCTCCCTGCATTCGAGGTGGAAGCTTCTCAGAAGCTGCCTGTTGGCGTGTCCCTGACGCAGCGTTCAGGAGCAGCGACCGGGGTGATGCTTTTGATCGCGATGTGTGGTGCTGAATATGATCAGTCCCCAAGCCTGTGCTGGGTGAATCCAAGCCTGTGGATTGGTACGCTCACCATTACTTGCTGCCCTGCGCAGCAAGAGGTGGCGCGCCTCTCGATGCACATCACCTGCACGGCAGCCAAAGCCACCCCCGCGGGCAAGCCTGGCCCCGGCGGCAAGGGCGCGCCCGCCGCCAGCGTGCCGCCGCCCCTTGCGAAAGCGCCAGCGCCGGGTGCCTCGGCCGGCGCCACGACCGCGGCCGCGGCGCCGGCTGCAAACGCAGCGGCGGCGGGGCGCAAAGGCGGGAAGGGCGGCCCCGCCGCCGCAGCGGCGGCGGCGGCGGCGGAGTCGGCAGCCGCTGCTGTGCACGTGACTCAGGCTGAGAAAGATAGCGCAGTGGCTTCCTTTCAATGGGTGATGTCATCACGGCCGGACGTGACGGTGGCGGCGCAGCAGCTCAAGGACGCCTGGGCGCGGGTGAGGGCCGGGGTTGTGCGCGCGGCGCGGCTTGCTTGCGCTCTTCAGAAAAGAGCAAATCAGCAGTCCTCGTCAGGCTCGCTGGGTAGCGGGCGCTGCTGGCTCAGTGACGGCCAGAAGTTGGTCCGTGGCCAGCCGGGATGGAGCCCGCGCGTGCGCAGCGCCGCCTGGGATGAACGCACCAGCCGTTCCCGCCCGCACGGCCGCTTGCCTGGCCCAACAGAAAGCGGTGCATCGCAAATCCTTGCTGCCTCACCGCTTCCTGCTGTGCGCTGCCGGCTTCGTGGGCCGAACGGGCCTAGCGGCACACTCCCACGCAGCATGAGGCGGGCGGCGCCTCGCTGCGCGCACGAAGAGCCCCTCGTCGCCGCCAAACCGCGGCTTGCCGCACATCCTTGCCTCTGCCCTGACGCCCGCAGGTCGACCCGCGGCCCCAGGGGACGACAAGGGGGGTCAACCTCGGGGTGGTGGCCCGTATCGCGTGGGCCGCCGCCTGCTGCGGCGCGGCGCCGCTCGCCGAGGCGTGCGCGGCGCGCGCGTCAGCGGCGCCAGACCTGGGGCCGAGGGCGTGGGCGGACCTTGCACGAGCGGCGCTGGCACTGGCGGCGGCGAGGGCGCCGGAGGGGGTGGCGCCACCAACAGACAAAGGTGCGGCCGGGGCAGCGGTCTGGCGGGCGGCGCACAGTGTGTGCGGGCAATTGGGGTTGACTGCGGCAAGCGCAAGAGAGCTGGCGGCGCTCACGGCTCTTGACGGCAAGATGGTGCACTGCAGATGATCCTGTTTTCCTTATGCATTCGACCTCTTTTGTGCTAGATTTGCATACGGACCAGCACGCGGCAGTCCCGTCCATTCTGGGGATCGCCGGTCTTGGCTGTCTCTGCAAGCCAAGTCAGGCACGCGCCCCGCCCCGCCCCGCCCCGCGCTGCCCCGCCCCGCCCCGCACCCGCCGCCGCAGCCTCCGACCCCGTGCCCGTGCGGCGCGCGGCGGACGCGCACGCGGCTGTACTGGAGGCCCTGGAGGATGTGCTGGGCGCGTTCCTGAGGCTGAGGGATGCAGAGGGCATCCACTACGCCTCCAAGCTCGCGTGGAATGCGGGTGGGCGGGCTGTGTGGACAGATGGAAAGATCGTGGCGGAGGGCGCTTCGAGCGCGCGTGGCCGGCCGGGCGCTGTGCTGCGCGTCCAGGGGTGGTTGCGCGGCTGGGGGGCTGCGATGGGTTCGCGCGCGGGTCGGGTGATGGCAAACCACACGTACGGGTGTAGGCAAGGGGCGCAACTGCTGGGAGGGATGGCTCGGGGAAGGGGCCGGTTTGGAGGTGGCCCATTGGGGACGTGGGGTCACGGAGCGAGCAGTGCAACAATGTTCACGATACATGGGGGCTAAAGAGCTGGCAATGCAATGGGGCTGTCGCCTGCCTCTTGCTGTTTGGGCTGAGATGTCCAGAATGACAGCTGGCTTGGCTGATGTGGCGGCTGGCGATGCACTCGCTTGCTACGTCTCAAGCGCGGGCTGCGGCGAGCACCGTGCTCGGCTCGGGTGACCCGACACGCCTTCACCGCGAGGGCTGATCAAGGGTGGTGCGGCTTGCGTGCTCACCTGACGAAAGCCCGGACCCACGCAGGTCTGCCGCTGCTGCAGCCCAACACGCGCCGCCGCGTCAAGCGCTGCTTCGCGAGCGCCGCCAGGGCGCTCGAGGCCGTCGCGTCGCCGCTGGGGCGCCTGAGGGCGCAGCTGCACCTGGAGCTCGGAAAGTGTGAGGCGGACGACGACGCGCTGGTCAAGGTGCGGTGCACCTTCCAGACACTCTGTTGACTTTGGGTGACAGAGCTCTCCCTGGGAGCTGCAGGGGAGTGCGTTTAGTCGTGTGTGGGCGGGAGGGGGAATGACGGATTGTCAAAGCAGCGCTGCATCGATGCGACCGCGCTCGCGGGGTTAGTCAGAATCACGGATGGTGGCAGGCGGCGGCCGCGTTTGCAGGCAGCACGTCTGTGATACGGCACATACGTTGGTCAGCTTTGAAAATCTTCGAGTTGCAGGCCGCCTTTCCGTAAGCAGGCCGCCCCCGGCCCCCAAAACCCGGGCACGTGTGCCACCTCGCCTCCCCACGTGGCCTCGCTCCAGGCGGCCAAGGAGGTCCACCAGGCGCTGGCCCTGGACTACGCGGCTGCGGCGGAAGAGCGGGCGCAGTCCGGCCATGAGCGCCCCCTGGACAGGCGAGCGGGGCTCGAGCGGGGCCCCGCTTCCACGCGTGGCGTCTCAGCAGGGCGTGCACTGCTCTCTTTCAGAGGGCCAGACAACTTGGGGCCGGAGCCGCGAGGCCGGGACGGCCGCGTGCCTTGCAGTAGTCTCCTGGACAGTGGCGCGCCTGTGCTGGTCCAAGCCTCTGTACAGCCAAGCTGCTGTACAGCCACATGTGGTGCTTACCCGCTGCACGCTTGGGCGGTTTCTGAGTGTCTTTGGCTGCTCTGTAGTCCAGGAACAGTGTGCTGCTTGGTGACCGATGCTGCATGATCAACGCTCTCACGCTGTGGGCTGGGCCGGCCCGCCAGGCCGTCCCCCCAGCAGGGCGGACAGCCTGGGAACCCAACGGATCATGCACGCGACATCAGGGGCCAAGATGCGACAGTGTCATCAATGCACCCCCCTCTACGCACACACGCACGCACACACACACACACACACAGACACACACACACACACACACACACACACAGGCAGCTGGCGCCCCTGGACCGCGCGTTCCGCGTGCGCGCAGGCTTTGAGTCTGGCGGCCTCGAAGATGCGGCCCTCGCGGCGCTGGAGCGCGCGCGCGGCAGCGACAGCCCCGCCCTGCGCGCCGAGTACCTGTCAAAGTGAGGGACGGCGTTGTTTCATTGACACGTGACGCAGTAAGGCTGGTCCGTTGCTTGGCCGCCGTGATGTCTGGAGCCTGAGGCCGCCGTTGATGCATGGACCAAGGCTGCGTCATCACCCTTTGTCCTTACAACCATTGGCATTAGGGCTGCATTGGGGCAGCCAGGACGATGAATCAGTCGAGCACGGAACTTCCCCGAAGGGCACCTCGGCGGACGCCGCCCGCCTGGCCCCGCACCGCAGGGCAATCGCCCAGCTCTCCTCCCTCCCGCAGCTCGCGCCGCCCGACGCGTCTGTACCGCCCGCGGAGCGGGCGCCTGCGCAGGTCACAGCGCGCACGCGCGCGAGCATATGGGCGGAAGTCGTGAGGGTGAGCTTCTCAAGCTGATTGGTTGCATGCGTCGTGCAGCCGAATGCCTTCATTGATTATCGATCTGATATCTGACTGGCTGGCAACCAAGATCTTTCCGTGTGACAAACCATGACGGCAGCCCTAATGACCCTGCTTGGCCTGGTGGAACAGCTGTTATGCATATGCAGCGAAACTCACAGCCACGCATGCAGCGCGGTGCCTTGGCCCGCCAGGCACCGCCGCAACACATGCCCCCGGCTGACGCCGCCCCTCCCCGCGCCCACCTGCCCGCCCCGGCCTGCGCCCACCGCAGGTGGCGTGGGCGGCGCGGCTCGAGGCCGTCGTCCTCGACGCGGCGCCGTTTGTGCTGGCGGCGCGCTGGGCCCCCGAGGTTGACCGCCGCATGACGGCGCTGCAGGTGGGCGGGGCTCTCACAACCTTGGACGCGCTCGTCCGCCAACCGGGAAACTCTCCCTGCTTGTACGCCTCCCTCTTCTGACGTCTAGATGTTGGCGACGGGTGCCGATGCATGCGCATAATTGCATTGCGGTGTGTCCTGAGGCCCTTTTGCCAGGCATTTGGCAGACTCACGCCGCAACTCGCGCGCTCCGCCGCCGGTCGCAGGCCGAGATTGCCGCGTTGGAGGTCGAGGCGTGCCTGGCGGCCCTAAGGCGAGACGAGCCGCCCAGCTTGCTGGGAAGGGGGGGGGGGAGACCAAAACTGTGCCGAGCCCACACGGCTCCGGAAGCGCGCGGCAGCGGGGCGCCTTTGCGACCCTCACCTGATTGCTGGTGGACGGGCTGCGCTGCTGCTGCCCCCAGGAAGCTCCAGGCGGAGGTGGTGCCGCCGGCGGACCCGTCTGCCGGCAAGGTTGATGTGGAGGACGGCATCAGGGTGCCGCCCACAACTGCCGAGCAGCTGCAGAGGCGGGTGGCAGACGTGAGCCGCCGCTGCGGCGCGGAGCCCTTTTTTTTAGAGTTTTCCGGAACACGCTGACGTGGCTTCGTGCGTGGCGGCTGGTTGCCTTCTCTCACTGCAGCACAGGCCGTGTGCATGCAAGCACGTGTGTTGCATGGCGGACGCGTATCACATGCTCGTATTTGGTAGCGCCCTGTCTTCATTCTCCTGGAGCTCACCCGCAGGGCTGCTCGCGCAACAAATGCGGACGCTCACATCCGGCAACCAGCCTCCCCGCCTTGGCTGCGCCCGGGCCCCCTCCAGCCGGCATAACCCCCAAGCCAGGAACCAACCCTTAGACTGCAAGCCGCACAACCGTACCGCTCAAACTGCAACCCCCAAGTCGTCACATCCAACCCGCGCCCCGCGGCCCGCGGCCCGCAGGGCATATTGGAGAGCATGCGCGCCGCCGCGGAAGCTCAGGAGCCATGGCGTCTGGCCAACAGCGCGGCGCTGGCCTGGAACGCCTACCTGCCCCTGCTGCAGCGCCGCCGCCACGCGGAGGCGCTGCCCGTCCTGCTGCCGGCGCTGCAGCTGCTCCTCCAGCCCGCCGCGGCGGCGGGCCCGGGGCCGCCCCCGCCGCCTGGGGGGTCGTCGGGCGCGCAGCAACAGCAACAGCAGCAGCAGCCGGCGGCGGGGGCGGGCGCCGCGCAGCCGGCAGGCGGCCAGCCGGCGCAGGCGGCCGGGAGGCGATGGGAGCTGGCCGCGAAGCTCGCAGAGGCGGTGGCAAACGGGGCGGAGCACGTGGCGTTGCTGCAGATGTTGAGGCCGGCGCCGCCCGCACCCGCCGCGTCTGAGACCTCAAGGGCGTCGTCCCCCGCGCCCCGCCCGGGCTCCGCGCTCGCGGCCGTGGCCGCGGCCGTGGTGGCAGCGGCAGGGGGCGGCGACGGCGGGGCGCGGCAGCTGGCGTTCAGGCAGGGGTTGACGCCCTGGTTCTGCGACCTGCAGCAGGCACGCCACAAAGCCGGTGAGGCAATTACATACCAACCGCTGCACCCCTCGATACGTGGCTGGGCACTGTGCGACACGTGCATGTAGCGTGTGATATACAACGTATGCCGCCGCCGGCCGCTTTCGGGTCTGCAGATATGCTGTTCCCCTGAAATTCGCACCCGAACTGCCGCGTCGCCCCTGCGCCTTCCGATCCATCGCAGCGGCCGCCGGCCCCGAGGGGCTGAAGCGCCTCGCCTCCCCCGACCAGCCGAAGGCACTGTCGGTGCTGATGTCATCCGCCGCCGCCACCTGCCAAGAGGCGCTCGCGCGCGGCGCCGCAGCCGGCGCGCCGCAGCCGCAGTCGCTGCTGCGCGCCTTCGCCCGCCTGCAGCAGTTGTGGGCGGCCGCCGGCGCCGCAGACGCGGCGCCGGCCGGTCCGGCGGCGGCGGCCGCCGCCTCTGCCGCCGCCGCCGCTGCTGCAGCAGGCGGCGGCGGGGCCGCGCCCGCGCCGCTGCTGCTGCCGCCTGGGGCCCCTCCTGCCCTGGAGCTGTCTGCCAAGGTGCTGTCTGCGATAGAGGCGCTGACAGCATCGCCGGCGCCGGCGGACGCAGCGGGCCAGGCCAAGACTGAGCAGGCGAGCCCAGCCGCCTGTGTTGCTTGGGAATGTTACCTCGCCGCATCTCTAGCCGCACCCCAGCAAGCTGATTCATACGTGTGCATGCAAATGATGTTGTCCCCATGCATAGAACCGTGTCCTTGAAACTGCAACCTGCCCCGATCCGCCGCCCACAGGCCGTCCGCGCGGCGATGACTCAGGTGTCGCAGCTGCCTGCGGCCGACGCAGAACTTTGGGCGCGCCTCTCCCGCGCGGCCGCCGCGCAGCGCTGCTGGCCCCACGCCCGCGACTGCGCGCGCGGGGCGCTGCCGCCCGAGCTCCGGGCGCCGGGCGCCCTCGAGGCGCTCGGGGCCGCGGCGGCGGCGCCGCCGCCGCCGCATGTCGCGCGGGAGACGTGGTTCTGGCTGGCCGTTGCGGAGATGCAGCACGGGCAGGTGCGTGGAGTGCAGGTTATGCACGTGCAGGCAAGGCGCCAGCGCGAGGCCAGCCTCATTTCAAAGGCGGCACGGAGCTTCCGACAGCAGCGACCGCCGCGCGCCCGTTGAACCGGCCCTGCCCTTTAAACTTAGTGGGCAAGCACACACCTTGGAGCGCGCCAAGCCGCTCGTCGCCGGTGACGCCCCGCCGCCGTGCACCCGGGGCACCCGTCCGTTCCCACCCAGGCGCTGCTGGCGCTGCTGCGCCCGGAGGCTCAGGACCTGGCCACCCAAATCCAGGTCCGCCGCGCCGCCGCCGCGCGCCACGCCGCCGCGGCGCGCATGGCGGCGCTGGCGGGGCGCGCCGAC